CCCATTTCCCCCCCCCCCCCCACCTATAGGGTATTACAATTGGTATTAGAGCAAGATCTCTATACATATTTAGGTTTAACCATCTTAGAGAAAAGATCCAATGGAGGCTTTGAATGTGCATATGCTTGAGGGACAATCCACCTAGATCCCCACTTTTCACCGGTTGCTTATTGGAAGGCTGGAATGAGGATTTATCTATGATGCATGACCTTGATATCTTAGACATTATAGAGAAGAAATATGTTGAGAAGCCTAGTAGTAGTATGACCGATGGTGAGAGGCATCAGGCAAACCTTAATATAAAAGTCATGAATGCATTAATTTGTGGACTTACCCCCCAATGAATACAACAAGGTTTCCACGTGTGCAACCGCACACGAAATTTAGAAAAAATTGTGTATCACTTATGAAGGAACCCCTCAAGTTAAAAAATCTAAAATTAGTGGCCTCATGCATGATTATGAATTGTTTAAAATGCTTCCAAATGAATCTATTGATGCTATGTTTTATCAGTTTACTAATATCATAAATGAATTGCATGGCCTAAATAAGGTGTTGACGAACCAAGAAATGAACTATAAAATTCTTCGTTCTTTGACGCTGGTTTGGGAGCCCAAAGCTACAGTTATCGAGGAAGCTCATGATCTTACAACACTTTCTCTTGATGGTCTCATTAGCAAGCTCAAGGTCCATGAGAAGAAGATCAAGGAGAAGAAGGAAGTGCCCCCAAACATAACCGATGAGTCATCTCAAAAATTAAAGACTATTACACTCAAAGGAGCAATTAATGACTCATCCTACTCGGATAGTGAAGTTGATGTCTCTAGAGAAGTGGCACACCTCTCTAGAAGAATATCAAGATTAATTAAAATGAATAAAAAGTTTAAAAATTAATCTAACAACAAGTTTCCCTCTCGTGCAGGTAAATGTTTCGAATGCAATGAACCGGGACACATTGTTAAGGATTGTCCTAAAGTAAAGAAAAAATACTTGAAGTACAAGAAGAAGAAGGCTATGTACACTGGATGGGATAAATCTGAACCAAGTGATTCGAATAGCGATGACGAAGGCGCCAAGAGTGCTCTTCATGATCCAAACATTTTCTTCATGGCTCATGAAGATGAGGAACAATCCGGAACCGAAAGTGAATCTCTTTATATGCAATGTGAACTAGAAGCTGCTTTAGAAGAATTAAACATTGAATTTAAAAGATTAGCAAAAGAATATTCTTCTTTCAAAAAATTACATGGTTCTTGTGACTCTAAGTTTAAACAACTACAATCCTCTCTTGCTCTAAAAGATGAAATGATAGGAGATCTAGACTTTGAAAACAAACAACTAAGTTCTAAAATTAGGAGGCTAGAAATTAAAAATAATAGAATTAAATCTTATCATGCTTACTCTAGTCACAATAATGTAAATAGAAAATGGAATCACAAATCTCATGCACCCACTTACAAGAAAAATTTTTTGTGTACATATTGCATGAAATATGGTCACATTTTCACACATTGTAGACTTAAAGATAATGTTTATTATTATGGGTTAATGTGGGTACCTAAAGGTACCAAAGATACTAACATTCAAGGATCCAAAGTTTGGGTACCTAAAGGTTCTACAACTTGTTTACATATAGGAAACATCTCGCATAAGACGTAAGGGGTTATGGTACCTTGATAGTGGTTGCTCACATCATATGACAGGTAACAAGAAATTATTTGTAACCCTATCAATGATTGAAGGAGGCAATGTCTCCTTTGGTGGCGGCGAGAAAGATAAAATTATAGGTATTGGTAATATTGGTAAGATACATTCTCCCATAATTGAGGATTTTTATTTTGTTAAACTATCAAATCATAATCTTCTTAGTATTAATCAATTAAGTGACAAAGTTTTTAACGTTACTTTTAAACCGGATAAATGTATTGTTAGTATGAATAATAAAATCATTTTTGTTGCTTTTATAAGATCTCATGTTTATATTTTTGAGATGAATGAGCTAATCGATCAAGATGTAAAGTGCCTTGCCGCGGTGGATGAAGATCCTTAGATTTAGCACAACAGACTTGGACATGCTAATATGGAGTTAATATCTAAGCTATCTAAGAAGAATTTAGTAAGAGTGCTACCAAATCTAATCTATATTAAAGACTCTATGTGTGAGGAAAGTGCCAAAGGTAAACAAACTAAGAATTCCTTCAAATCCATAAATAATGTATCCACTTCTAAACCTTTACAATTATTGCATCTTGATCTCTTTGGTCCTATGTGTGTTATCTCTCTAGGAGGAAACATAATGTATTTATTATTGTTGATGATTTTTCATGTTTTACATGG